CAATGATGGACTAGACAATTATATAAATGTCGTAACTTTTGTTTGGACAGTGAAGGAGCTGGAGGTGGTCATGCTCCAGATATCATTCGAGTGTGTGGTGTGAAAAATGTTCTGCCTTCATCAACTAATCCTACACGACCATTCACGGTCAACACTGTAGATGAACACCTTGACATGCTGGTATAAAAAACAAATGAAATTAGTTTCTGCGGCGAACAAACTCTTTCTAATCTGAATTTCCCAGCGCAGTTTCTACTTACTGACTTCTCTGTGCATCGAAGAACTGTTAAAGAAAAAAGGGTAGAGAAGAGATTGAATTGGGTTTTATCACTTACAGATGGTGTGCCATCATCTCGATCGCAATATTAAAGAAGATGTAGCTTTTGCGGAATCAAGGATAAGGAAGGAAACCATTGCTGCAGAAGATATTTTGCATGATATGGGGGCAATCAGTATCATATCTTCTGATTCACAGGCGATGGGTCGCATAGGAGAGGTTCTTAATGCATTTGTGTTCCTTTCTTTTTCTCCATATTACACTATAAGTGCATTAGAAGGTATTCCAGTCTCCAATTTAATGTCGTTGTCGTCTGTTTCCCATCAATGATGATTTATTTTCTTAGGACAGGAAAGCTGTTTACTGAATTTTTACCGACGGGCAGTTGAGTGAAAATTAATCCTAAACAAAGAACATGAAATTTGAAACTAAGTAGATTATCATGTTAGCACAGAGAAGCCCTGATAGACATGGTAATCATATTGTCAGCTCATGGTAATAGGCGTTAGCTTTATAGGAGAGCATTCATCTCAGGGATTGCAAATCATACACTAACTAGGAGAGCATTCGTATTGTGATTCCTAAATGAAGAATGGGATGTTCTGATCCATAATCTAATTCATTTATCTATGGTGTGCTGTCCTCAGGTTATCTCAAGAACGTGGCAAACTGCACATAAAATGAAGTTGGCAAGGCCGTCTCCATCAGACAATGACAACTTGCGGATTAAGCGATACATATCCAAATATACCATAAATCCAGCCATAGCAAACGGGTTTTCTCAGTACGTTGGTTCAATAGAGGTATTATAACTTTTGCTGTTTTAGTTGATTAGATTTTACATTAATGAGCTAGACATTATGGTAATGTGAATCCCACATCGGTTGGAGAGGAGAATGAAACATTCTTTACAAGGGTGTGGAAACCTTTCCCTAGCAGATGCGTTTTAAAAATCTTGAGGGAAAGCCCGAAAGGGAAAGCTCAAAGAGGACAATATCTGCTAGTGGTGGATTTGGACTGTTACAAATGGTATCAGAACCAGACACCGGGCGATATGCCAGCGAGGACGCCTAACCCCGAAGGGGGTGGATTGTGAGATCCCACATTGATTGGAGAGAGGAACGAATGCTAGCGAGGACCCTGGGCCTCGAAGGGAGTGGATTGTGAGATCCTACATCGGTTAGAGAGGGGAACGAAGCATTTATAAGGGTGTGGAAACCTCTCCCTAGCAGGCGCGTTTTAAAAACCTTGAGGGAAAACTCGAAATGGAAAGCCCAAAAAGGACACTATCATCTAGTGGTGGGCTTGGGTGTTACAATTAATATCAGCAACGCCCGTAGATTTATTAATTTTATCCTGACAGTTGGTTTGCCAGTTTGCTTTGAACATGCAAAATGCTTCCAACATTTTTATAACTTTTCATCCATAATTGTATTCCTAATTTATATTCCTTTGTACTTGATAATTAAATTTTGGGAATGATCTTATTCAGGCAGGGAAGTTGGCTGATCTTGTTCTCTGGAAGCCATCCTTTTTTGGGGCAAAACCAGAAATGGTGATCAAAGGTGGTGTAATTGCATGGGCAAACATGGGTGATCCGAATGCAAGTATTCCTACTCCCGAACCGGTAATGGGAAATTCAACGTTTGGATTCCATTTTTAAACAAGGATTATAACCATTTGGTTGCAGTTGAACCCAATTTATCATATTTGAACTGGAATTTAATGCATTTCATGCGAGTTACATCTCAATTTCTAGTCTTTTTGGAGCCATGTTTCCATAATTGATGGTTTAATCGCTTTCTGCAGGTACTGATGAGGCCAATGTTTGGATCCTTTGGAAAGGCTGCAAGTACCCACTCAATTGCCTTTGTCAGCAAGGCAGCTGCTAACGTGGGAGTTAAAGCCATGTACGGACTCAAAAAGAGAGTTGAAGCTGTAGACAACATTAGGAAACTCACTAAACTTGACATGAAATGGAATGATGCCCTTCCGCTCATCGAAGTTGATCCCGAAACGTACACGGTGAAAGCCGATGGCGAGATTCTTACCTGCCAGCCCGCCGCTTCTGTTCCTCTTTCTCAAAATTACTTCCTCTTCTAGACTTCCCTTTAACTCTCCATTGTCTTAACTTTCCTTCTGCATTTCCAATTTTGAAGTAGGTGATACTTTCAGAATAAGGCCACATGTAAGCTTTCTGATATGGAGGAATGCCAATGGCCTCTGTTCTTTACCTCTTTCTTCAAACTATTTGTTTCTAAATAACATTACGTTTGAAACCCACAAATCTGTGTGTTTCTAATCAATTCGTGCTTAGAGGCTAAACATCTCTTGAGTTGCTTGTGGATCTGTGTTTGGACTAGCTTTTGAGTGCATTTTCATTTAACCGTTTTCTTTTTATAAAAATTGGTTAAAATAAAAACACATCCGTTAATTTGGTTTGTTATTCACTCAAAATAGTCAGATTAATATTGAATGAAGATCGTTGAACACAAAGAAATTAATAACAGGATAATATCTGCTAGTGGTAGGTTTGAGTTATTACAAATGGTATCAAAGTCAATCACCGGATGATACGAGGTATTGGTCAGAGTAGGGCTAGGCCCTCTTCGTAGTAGACGTGTTAACGTAATGGGCCAAAGTGGACAAATAACTACTAGCGATGCACATGAGCTGTAACATGATGTCAGAGCTAGACACGAGGTGATGTGTCAGTGAGGATGTTGGGCTCTTACGGGGTGGATCTCGTTGGGTATATGTGAGTAGTGGACTTGAACTGTTACAAATGGTGTTAGAGCAAGACATTAGGCGGTGTGCCAACGAGGACAATGGTCCCTAATGGGGTGGATCTCGCTAGGTATTTGTGAGCAGTGGGCTTGAACTGTTAAAAATGGTATCAAAGCCAGACAGGTGTTAGTGAGGACATTGGGTCCCTGACGGGGGCGGGGGGGGGGGGGGGGGG